AAATGGATGAAACCTGAGGACATTTTGACAAATAAAATAAGCCAGTCATAAGACAGACAGTGTATGATCCCACTTATATGAGATATTGAAAGTATTCAAACTGATAGAGACAAAAAGAATTATGTTTGCCAGTGGCTGGGGGAAAGCGGGGAATGAGTAGTTGTTTAATGACTATAGAGTTTCAGTTTTGCAGATGGAAAGTTCTGGAGATCGATTGCACAACAGTGTGAACATACTTAATACTACTGAACAGTACATTTAAAAATGATCAAGATGGTAACCTTTATGGATATATCACAATGAAAACTTATTAAAAATTTAAAAACAGTTATGAAATGGATGGGTAAAATATGATTCTATCATAAATTGATGTATTTTGCATCCATAAAATCGTATGTTTGAAATATAATAACTATTATAAATCTCTATAAAAGATATAGTTTGGTTATGAATGTAAAAATATATATATAAAAGAGCAAAGAAAAAGTAAATTAAACCTCACTAGCAACAGTTGTCCTTTTTTTTGCATTTCATTACTATTTTTTTTTTAATTTTTTTTTCAACGTTTATTTATTTTGGGGACAGAGAGAGACAGAGCATGAACGGGGGAGGGGCAGAGAGAGAGGGAGACACAGAATCGGAAACAGGCTCCAGGCTCCGAGCCATCAGCCCAGAGCCTGACGCGGGGCTCGAACTCACGGACCGCGAGATCGTGACCTGGCTGAAGTCGGACGCTCAACCGACTGCGCCACCCAGGCGCCCCTCATTACTATTATTTTAAAGTGACAGTTTCAGGGGGCACCTGGGTGGCTCAGTCGGTTAAACATTTGGTTAAACATTTGACTTTTGGTTTCGGCTCAGGTCACGATCTCACGTTTTTGTGAGTTTGAGCCCTGCCTCAGGCTCTGTGCTGAGAGTGCAGGGTCTGCTTGGGTTTCTCTCTCCCTTTTTCTCTGCTCCTTCCCACTCGCGCTCACTGTCTCTGTAGAAATGAATGAATAAACTTAAAAAAAATTAAAGTAAAAATTTCATAATTTTATATGACTTAAAAAAAATCAAACAGGATATTTTTGGCAAAAAGTCAATGAGTATAAGGATGCAGAAGTAGAAGTGCATGACATGACAAACGAGGGGTGAAGGATGAATTATGCACTGTGTCTGAGGAGCAGTTATGAAAAATGAAGTGGGAAATATTGCTGTAAATGTAGCCTGTAGCGAAATGCCTCACCGCCTGAGGTACCAGGCTGAGGTGGGAATTCTTGATAAATTCCTCCATGAATTGAATAGTGAGAGGCTCCCAAATCCCATTCCCTGGCATCATCCAACACTAATAAAACATTCTGAAACTACCAAACTCTCCCTGATCGGGGAATCACCAGATTTCAGGGTATCCAAGCACCTTAAATGACACCCAGCAACTGAAGTCACGTATTTCTATTGCTCAAAGTTTATTCATTCTATCATATTTCATTCGATAAATATTTATCATGTGCCTACTGTATGCCAAGAACAGTTCATGTTTATGCTATAAAGAAGCAACTAGGGGCACCTGGGTGTCTCAGTTGGTTAAGTGCCCAACTCTTGGTTTCAGCTCAGATCATGATCTCCCAGTTCTGAGTTCAAGTCTCTGACTCCCTCTCTATCTTCCCCTCCCTAACTTGTGCTCTCACTCTCTCAAAAATAAATAAACATTAAAACAAAATTTTTTTTAAAGCAAAACCCTTACCTTTATGGTTGTCAGCTGGTATGCTTCTCTTGTCCTCTGTGTGATCTCTCTCCACATGTTCTCTGATTCATTTGTCTATCCTCAGCTTTTTAAATGGCTGCTGGCCTCCAAGAGGGTAAAATGGAAGTCGCCAGGTCCATATGCCTTGGAATGCACACCTCATTTCAAGTCTATTTTATTGGCCAATGCAAGTCATAAGGTGATCCCAGATCCGATGGGTCAGAGAATAGACTACACCTCATGATTGGGGGAATTGGTTTGTGTGTGCAGCCAAGGGATGAATTATTGGCAGCCATTCTTGCAAATGGCCACACTCGATAAACAATCAGAATGACAGATGGCAATGGTACAACCACCATGAGGGAACTTTTAATACCTAACAAATCTATGAATACATTTATTCTTTGACCTTGATAGTTGTACTTCTCATAATTAACCATAAGATTTATCAGTAGAATTTTTCAACTAAAGATGTGAGAGGAAAAGAAAAAAAAAAAATGAAGAGCCCCTCAGGTGCTGATGGAACAATGCCAGAAGGTCTGACATATGTAGTTGGGATCCCAAAATTGAGATGAGAGACTGAGGTAGAAAATAATTTTGGAAGTAATAATTACTGGAATTTTCCAAATTACATGAAAGTCATAAATTTACAGATTACAAAAGCTCATTGACCCTCAAAGAGAATACAAATCAATAAACTGTGTCTGGGTATGTCACAATCACACTAAAGAGATAAAGTGAAAAATCTTAACAGCCGCCAAAGGGAGCAGGCAAATAAAATACAAATGTTTAAGGTAATTAAGACTCACACCTTTCCCACTAACTGTTAAGCATGTTAACAGTTTATAAATGCTCATATACTCTTGGGCAATACTTAAACATCATTATTCATGATTCTAAAATTTCCAACTTATTAAAATCCAGGGGATGAATATAACTTCAACCTAGGTCTTTTTGTGAGGAAAAAAAGCTCTACAAATATAAATCATTGGTACGTAGTAATTGTGAGTATTTAATATTCCCTTTGAAAATGAGTCAACATTCATTAAATAAGCCTCTAGCAAGACTAGATGCGGTAGAAAAGGCTTTCTTATCAGAGCATCTTGAGAGAAGCAAGAGAATAAGAGGGTCAGGGGGAAGGGAGGGTAATGGGAAATGATTTTAGAGACCCAGCCCATTTGGGAAGAAGGTGAGGCTGGTGGAGACCTGCTCTGTCCCCTGAGCCCTGGTATAAATACTTCCCTCCAGAGTTCCACAAGAGAGGATAAACAGCCCAACTCCTGACCCACCAGGCAATTTTTATTATGGATCTCATGGCCTCTGTTCCTGGAGACTCAGCCTAAGGTTGGTGAGTGAATTAGACATCTGAGGGTAGAGAGGTTCCAATATCCACGTAAGGACTGGGCTGGTGTTCTGCCCCCAAAAGGCCGGAGGTGACGGGCCTCTTGGAGGCTATTGATACATCTGGACAAAGAATGGTAAAGACCAGAAGCACAAATCTGATTGGTTCTAGCAGCTGTGGAAAATGAGGTCTGGGAGGGTAGCTGAGAATGTATGGGCCAGATGGAAGTTCCTGTAGGGTGGCAAATCAGGAGAAGCAATCCAGTTAATGGCAGGTGCCCTCATAGTTCTACGAGAGATGAGAAAACAGAAAACACATTTACTTAGACTATGGACCCCTCCTGGAAAACCATGAAAAGAGCCTTGAGGATGGCAGCACACTGGTCACCTGCCCCAAGCCAGATGTTTGAGGGAATTTTGGGAAAGGGGCCAGGGCATCTCGGGGGGTGTGAAAAACTAGGAGCCAATTTTCCTCCCTAGAAAGAAAAATCGCAGCACCAAAAGAGGGAGCTGGAGTGGAAGAAATAGTTAGTGAGCATAAGATTTATCTTAGCCCCTGAGCTAGATATTTTAAGATACCTCGTCATTTAACATCTTCAGAAACCCCAGGATGAAGGTATTTTATTATTGGTTCCATTTCTTCTTCATTCTGGTAAAAACGGGATTAGATATGGCTGTCTTGTCAGGAGGTGCCCTCTGAGCCCATTACACCTGTAACATTTTACTGATCTCATCTGCTTACCTACCCACAATTCTCTCAATCTATAAGCCCAGTTAGGACTCAAGCACAGGACATGATTTTTGAAAAACAGCCCATGCTCCAAATAAGCTTGCTGAATGATTAAGCTAATGAATGAAGGAAGGTGTATTAGGAAACAAATGGTAAAATTACATGTTCGTTTCTATCAGAAGAATCTTACAAATGTCAAGTACTGCGACTCCCCATCCCCAGAAATAATGCCTTTGTTTTTCCACTTTCAGTCATTTCTAGGCTTATCCCCAAGGTATGAACATGAGACACACAAGCCCTGTTACCTCTTGAAGTTCTCTTGATTCTCTTCACAAGTGAGCAAACTGTATGCACTGAAGTCGGAGAAATTTCAAACTCATTTCTATCAATTATTGATTGGGAAATTGGACAAGAGTTTCATATTCTCTGAGTCCCTCTTTAGGTGTGAAATGGAGACAATATCCACTCCCTAGAGTGGATGTCTGCTCCCTACATGAAGAGCATACAAAATGCCACGTATGATGTGCATACTGCAATTCCTGGCATAAAACAATGCTTAATAAACATTAGTTTAATTCCTCTGTGGCTGTATTACATTCAGATCCATTCTATTCCTGGAACCCAACTTACCTTTTAGCATCCAATCTCTTCAATTACTATTCCAATAAACCTTCACAGGTTATCATTCAACACTAATAGCTTTAAGACATCTGATGGCTGTGTCCTGTGTGAAGGGTGAGGTCTAAGTATGAAGTTGTGATCAGGTTCTTCACTGCTTGTGCAAGTCCCTATGCACCTGTCACCCTACGCTGGAAGTGTTTCATGAACATACTGTGCATTGATTGGTATGCTCGCCTTTTCTTATGCTGCCTCTTGTCTACTAAATTAGTCAGTTTCAAGTATCTTTTTACACTCTTCCCAGTCATGAATAATGAGTTTCTCTATTTATGCATAATCCTCTTTGAAAGTGAAATACAAACAGTAATGTCTCTGACTTTGGTTAGTTGGAGGTAAGGATAATTGACTGTCACTCACTGTGGTGCAGACCATATCCTTCATCCTTGCATATTTCCTATTTGCATGTTCTGAGAAGATGAAGAGTGTGAGATATGACAAAAGTCCTAATATTCACAAGGAATATTAGAATAATTCTTTCATCTCTTTGTGAACAGAAAGTGAGATCCCAGGTCATCTGCTCCAAGCATGACAACCATAAACCACACTGCTGTTAGCCATACAATCTTCCACTTGCTGGGCATCCCCGGGCTAGAGGACCAGCATGTGTGGATATCCATCCCCTTCTTCGTTTCCTATTTCATCGCCCTGCTTGGGAACAGCCTGCTCATCTGCATTATCCTCACAAAGCGCAGCCTCCATGAACCCATGTACCTCTTCCTCTGCATGCTGGCCGGAGCAGATGTTGTCCTCTCCACGTGCACAGTACCTCAGGCCTTGGCCATCTTCTGGTTCCGTGCTGGGGAGATCTCCCTGGATCGCTGCATAACTCAGTTCTTCATCATCCACTGCACTTTCATGTCTGAGTCGGGGATCTTGCTGGTGATGGCGTTTGACCGCTACATTGCCATATGCTACCCACTGAGATACACCACTATTCTTACACGTGCACTGATTGGAAAAATTGGTGTGACTATAATTCTGAGAAGTTTCTGTACCCTTTTCCCCATAGTATTTCTTTTGAAAAGATTGACTTTCTGCCAAAATAATATTGTTCCACACACCTTTTGTGAACACATTGGCTTGGCCAAATATGCTTGTAATGACATTCGTGTGAACATCTGGTATGGATTTTCCATCCTAATATTAACAGTGGTTTTAGATGTGGTGCTAATTTTTGTTTCCTATGTGCTGATTCTCCGTGCTGTCTTCCACATCCCTTCCCGAGATGCTCGCCACAAAGCTCTTAACACATGTGGCTCCCATGTCTGCATCATTGTCCTCTTTTACAGCCCCGCGATCTTCACAACCCTTACTCAGCGGTTTGGACGCCACATTCCTCCTCATACCCACATCTTGCTGGCCAACATCTGCATGCTTGCCCCACCTATGCTGAATCCCATCATTTATGGGATTAAGACCAAGCAAATCAGAGAGCAGGTGGTTCACATGTTGTTTACAAAGCAGAAATCACTTTGGTTGAAGAACTGAGTTTTCGGAATCTCTAGCCATATGTGAAGTGGTCTGTGGAAGTGGTGGGTGGGAGAGATAAGCTGAAACACCAGGAGAAAGCTCTGTGGGTTCTGTCTCTGGAGCAAGACCACCAGGGAGGTTGGAGGACTCACTCCTTCATTGTCAAAACAACTGAGCTCAGCACCATGTTGGACTGAGCAAGCCTGCTCCTGCAAAGACCCTGGGACAGGATGCATTGATTTTCAGAAGTCATATGTCCTTAATGACTCTAGGATGATCTTTAGAAATGGATGAAGTGAGAGCCGTGCTCTGGCCTGGGATTTTGCCCAGCTATTTCTCACTGAGTTTCTCAAGCTCTGAGACATCTCCTGATGTTTCTAGGCAATCACATACAAACCTCTGCTCCTTAATGGCCTTCATTCTGGCTAATGATATTCTTAGAATCAGTGATCCCTGTGTTTTGCAGTTATTCCTATTACATTATAATTTATATCTGATCAGCATGCATGTCTGTAATAAGAGAAAATAAATGAATTGTGTTTTGTATTTGGCAGAAAAACCCCTGAGGAGACTGAGGGGATTGAAACTGGTCTCTCCTGTAGTTTCTGGGGGGTGGTGTGTGCTGGGAACAGGGACCCTCCTATCTCAACTTCAGGCTATGTTCTTCAATGATCCCCTCCTCAGCAGGGCATTCAAGGCCTTTAATGACCTGATTTCTGACTTCCTTTATAGCAGCACTGCCATGTCACCTCCAAGCAACCCGAGCATCAGACACACTGGGCCATTAATGCCTCACCTTCCCCAGATCATGCCATGCTCTCCATGTCCCTGATCTGCCTTGGGATAATCTCCATCAGCTTTTGGAAAACTCCTATTCCTCCCTCCATGCCCACCTCTCATCTCTTCTCTTCTGTCGTCCTTTCTCCAACCACATCTCCTGCCCAGTGTGTTCTTTAGTTGATAATTCCTTCCTGAGCAAGATAGTGTGTTGTCCATATTTCATTTTAAAATATGTATCTTTTTAAAAATCTATGTTTCTTGTAGAAAATATTAGAAATTAAGAAAAAAGACAAACATGAAATGGAACTCATAAACCCATAAACTTACAGCCCCTGAACAATTTTGTTGTTAAAATTTTGTCTTCTATGGCTATCTACCCATATCTATATACTTCTATATCTGCATGTACACCTGTCTCTGAGTCTGTGTTTGTATTTCATCTCCATCTGTATCTAAAGCTTGATCTACTCCTTTATCTACCTGGAAAATAGTATCATACGATACATAAACAGAATATTGATTGTACTATATATGTTTCTTTTCCACTATGTATAACTAGTTTTCTGGCAGTACTTGTTGGCATTGTTTCTAATACATAAGCATTTATACAATCAATTACTATGCCTATGAAGTAGTTTACTGCAGAGTGTTACTATATTTAATGAAGCATTATTATTTTAAGCCCTTTTTGCATAGCATTATGACTATATATTTACAAATTTAAGGCTCATTTCTATTTGCTATTTGCTGCTTAAGTTTACAGACCAGATATGTTTAGATAAATTATTTGTAAGCAACAGTAAAACCTTGGATTGCGAGTAACTTGTTCTATGAGTGTTCTGCAAGACGAGTAAACATTTCTAATAAATTTTAACTTGATAAATGAGCAATGTCTTGCAATTGGAGTAGTGCGTGACGCCCAATGTCACATGATCACAACTGAGCCAAGGGTTCTTGAAATTTGCTTTGGTATACAAGTGCTTTGGATTACAAGCATGTTTCCAGAACGAGTTATACTCACAAATCAAAGTTTTACATATTGTCTTTTAATATAAGATGTAAATACTCAATGTAAGACAATTGGAAAACAACAAAAATAGAAAGAAAATCCCTAGTCAGGAGGAAACCACTGGTAACAGTTTGGTGTATTGCTTTACCTTCGTTGTTCTTTGCATATATATTTTCATATATTTTAAATATTATTGGACATTTGGAGCTTTCCATTTTTAACTATATAAATAAGACTTCCCTGAACATACATCTTACTCTGGGTATTTCAATTTTTTATTTTTAGGATGGAGTCCTAGATATGCTATTGCAGATTTTATAGATTTTTTTTATGAATCTTATAGAAATGTCCTCAGAAAGGATGAGAATAATTTATCTCTGCACTAATAATGGAGTTGCACAGTTTTCTTTAATTTTTTTTTTGCCATTTAAAAGGACAAAAATATTATACTGCAATTTTTTTTATTTTAGCTTGTTTTATTTTTTATTTTTTTAAATTTACATCCAAATTAGTTAGCATATAGTGCAACAATAATTTCAGGAGTAGATTCCTTAGTGCCCCTTACCCATTTAGCCCATCCCCCCTCCCACAACCCCTCCTGTAACCCTCAGTTTGTTCTTCATATTTATGAGTCTCTTCTGTTTTGTCCCCCTTCCTGTTTTTATATTATTGTTTCCCTTCCCTTATGCTCATCTGTTTTGTCTCTTAAAGTCCTCACATGAGTGAAGTCATATGATTTTTGTCTTTCTCTGACTAATTTCACTTAGCACAATACCCTCCAGTTCCATCCACGAAGTTGCAAATGGCAAGATTTCATTCTTTTTGATTGCCAGGGAATACTCCATTGTGTATTGTGTATACATATATGTATGTATATATATACCACATCTTCTTTATCCATTCATCCACGGATGGACATTTGGGCTCTTTCCATACTTTGGCTATTGTTGATAGTGCTGCTATAAACATGGGGTGCATGTGTCCCTTCAAAACAGCACACCTGTATCCCGTAAATAAATGCCTAGTAGTGCAATTGCTGGGTCGTAGAGTAGTTCTATTTTTAGTTTTGTGAGGAACCTCCATACTGTTTTCCAGAGTGGCTGCACCAGCTTGCATTCCCACCAACAATGCAAAAGAGTTCCTCTTTCTCCGCATCCTCACCAACATCTGTTGTTGCCCGATTGTTAATGTTAGCCATTCCGACAGGTGTAAGGTGGTATCTCATTGTGGTTTTGATTTGTATTTCCCTGATGAAGAGTGATGTGGAGCATTTTTTCATGTGTCGGTTGGCCATCTGGATATCTTCCTTGGAGAAGTGTCTATTCATGTCTTTTTCCCATTTCTTCACTGGATTATTTGTTTTTTGGGTGTTGAGGTTGGTAAGTTCTTTATAGATTTTGGACACTAACCCCTTATCTGATATGTCATTTGCAAATATCTTCTCCAATTCTGTCAGTTGCCTTTTAGTTTTGCTAATTGTTTCCTTAGCTGTGCAGAAGCTTTTTATTTTGATGAGGTCCCAGTAGTTCATTTTTGCTTTTTTTCCCTCGCCTCTGGAGACGTGTTGAGTAAGAAGTTGCTGTATACTGCAATTTTTACTTATATTTTTAATTGATATTGAGGTTAAACATACATTAGATGACCATATTTCATCTTATAAAGTAATAGTAACAATCATTTGTGTACTTACTTTACAGGTCCCATGCAAAACATTTTATATACATTACCTCACATCACCTTCACTTGCACTTCATAAAATAGGTATTACAGATGGGGAAACAGAAACTCTACCAAGGAAAATGTCAGAGGCAAAGACAAATCCATTTTATTTTTATTTGTCAGGTTGTGCTCTTGACTACTAAATCCTCCAGATGATTTTAGTTATTTTTGGTTTTGCCATTTAACTCTCAATACTCTGGTTTCTCCTCATCTCTTTTCATTAATTTTAAAATGTATTACAACAATACATGTTTTCAGTCTCATTTTTAAGTATTTATCCAATATGTCTAGATAAATTTTTATTTTTATTGTTTTTATAAACTGATTTAAATATTTAACATTTAAATACATTAATAGCTATATGTATGTCTTTTCTGTCTTTTTCCATTTCTTAATCATAGAAAACTCACTATAAGCAAGGATTTGAGTATTATTCATATTAATTTCACTACTTTCATTTTCTCATCTCTAAATTAGGATTACTTTATAAACATTATAGAGTTCTTAGGGGGATTAAATGGGTTACTATATGTAATATGCTTAGAATGTCGTTAAGCGTATACTTATGTATATTTGCTATTATAATTATTGCTTTTTATTTTCATTCGTCTTAAGATACCTTTTTTCACATTTAACAACTGCAAAACATCTTTTTTAAATTAGTTAATAAATTAATTTAATTTGAGAGAGAGAGGGTGCATGCAAGCAGAGGAGAAGGGCAGAGGGAGAGAGAGAGAATCCCAAGCAAGCTCCATGCTTAGCATGGAGCCCAATGCAGGGCTCTATCCCACAACCCTGGGATCATGACTTGAGCTGAAATCAAGAATTGAACACTTAACCAACTGAGCCACCCAGGCGCCCCTACAAAACATCTGTTAATTTTGAATTAATTAGGGACACCGGGGTGGCTCAGTCGGTTGGGCGTCAGACTTTGGCTCAGGTCATGATCTCATGGTTTGTGGGTTTCAGGCCCTTGACAGGCTCTGTACTGACAGCTGAGAGTCTGAAAACTGCTTTGAATTCTGTGCCTCCCTCTCTCTTTGCCCCTCTCTCGCTCATGCTCTTTCTTTCTTTCTCAAAAATAAATAAACATTAAAAAAATTTAAAAATAATTATATATTCACAGAAAGTTGCATAATAACTATGTACTGGGAGTTCATGTTTCTCTCTATCAACCTGTTTTCCCCTATGGTAACACCCCATGTTAGTTAACACAATATCAGAACTGTAAGGTTGACATTGGTACAAACCACAGAACTTACTAGACTTTATCAGTTTTATGTGTACGATTTGTATGTGTGCTTGTGTGTGTATAGTTCTTTGTGTGTGTGAGTGTGTGTGCACATGTATGCCTGTAGTTCTAAATAATTCTATGATGTTAGATTCACAGAACCTCCACCATAGTTATGATACAGAATTATTCATCACCACTTATGATACCTTTTGTTGCCTTATCCACATCCCTCTCCTTCCATACCTAGCCCCTGGCAATCACTAATTGGGTGTTCATCTCTAAAATTTTGTTATGAATGATACGTAAATGGAATCATACAGCCCATAAGGTTTCGAGACTGGGTTTATTTCACTCAACATAATTTGCTTGGTATTCATCCACATAGTTATGTGTATCAGTAGTTTATTTCTTTTTATTGTGTAGAATTCCCTGTTATTCTACCATGGATGTACAAAGGATGTACCATAGTGTTTTTAAACATTCATATGTTAAATGACGATTCAGTTGTTTCCAGTTTGGGGCTATGAATTAAGCTGCTATGAACACTCATGCATAGGTGTTTGTGTAGATGCAAGTTTTCATTTCTCTGAGATTAATGCTTCAGTGTGCAATTCTGGGTTGCAGGCTAAGTGAATATTTAATTTCATAAGAAACCACAAGTCTGTATTCCTGCTCTACCGGTACACGTGAGTGATCTAGTTTCTTTGTATCCTCACCAACATTTGGTGTCCTAGTTTTTTTTTTTGTCATCGCTATTTTTTATTTCAATCACTCTGATAGCTATGCCATTGTGGTTTTAATGTGCATTTCTCTAATTGCTAATGATGTGCATTTTCCATGTGCTTGTTTGTCACATTTCTCCTCAATGAAATATCAGTTTGTGTAATTTGCCTGTTTCCTAGTTGAATTCGTTGTGTTTTTACCGCTAAGTTTTAAGGATTCTTTACATATTGTAAATGTAAGGCCTTTGGCAGATGTGTGGTTTGCAAATAAATTTTCCCAGCCCATAGCTTGTCTTCATTCTCTTAATGGGACTTTCTCAGAGTAAAAAGTTTTAATTTTTAAAACTTTTTAAAGTGTTTAAGTTGATAAGCCCAGTTTATTGATTTTTTCCTTTTACGGGTTGTGCTTTTGGTGTCATCTTAGAACTCTTCATCCTACTCCAGATTTTGGAGAGATTTTCTTTTGTTTCTTCCAAATGTTTTATGAGTATTCATTTTATATTTAAATCTATGATCAATTTTGAGTTAACTTTCTTTCCTTCCTTCCTCCCTCCCTCTATTTCTCTCTCCATTTTTCTTCTTTCCTTCCTTTCTTCCTTCTTTCTTTCTTTCTTTCTTTCTTTCTTTCTTTCTTTCTTTCTCTTTCCCTCTTTCTTTCTTTCTTCCTCCCTTCCTCCCTTCTTCCCTACCCTGCCCTTCCTTTCCCTTCCCTCCCCTTCCCTTCCCTTCTTTTTGGCCTATGATTGTTCATTGTTCCAGCACCATTTGTTGACAAAAGCTGTTCTTCCCCCATTAAATTACTTCTGTATAATTAATTGCCCCAAATCAGGTGGACATATTTATGTAGGCCTGTTTTGGGGTTTACTATTCTGTTCCAGTGATCTCTGCATTTATCCTCTGCCACTGACACACTATTGTTGATTATTATGGCTAAATAGTTAGCTTTAACTTCAAGCAGAGTGATTTCTCACACATCATTCTTCTTTAAATTGTTCTATATATTTCAGGTCCTTTGCTTCTCCTTATAGATTTTAGAATAAGTGGGTCTATGACTACCAAAAATGTTGCTGGGATTTTGATAGGAATTTCATTAGATATATAGATAAAATTTGGAAAGATTGATATATGATCTTTTTACTATGCTGAGTCTTCTGATTCATGAACCTGGTATGCCTCTCCATTTATTTACGTCTTCTTTGGCTTATTTCATCAGCATTTTCTAATGATCAGCATACAGATCCAATGCATATTTTGCTAACTTTATACCTAAGCACTTTTTTCTTTAGATGTATTTGAAAATGGTACTTTTTCATTTCAATCTCCACATATTTTTTAGGATATGAGAGGAATATGCTAAGAAACTCAGAGTTTGCAGACTTGAGAAAACAGACACTACAAATAAAGATATAAATAATCATTTGAATAACACTTGTGATAATGGAGGACCTTGTTGGGTCCCATGGTCAAAGATACCTACCTGAAGAAGGAGACTTTAATGACAGATATGAAGGATTAGTTGTTCTTGGTTAAGTAAATTAGGAGGGGCAGAGAGTTCAGGAGACAAAACCACATGACATGAGAAGGAGCTTGGCTCTGGTGAGGTACTGTAAGAGGGGCAGCAGGAATGGAATACAATGATCGGCTTTAACTAAGACCAGAAGCTCTCCGTGATCCCTTCACTAAGTGCCAGGTAGACATTGTTAATAAAGTAAGTTTAAGGGGCGCCAGGGTGGCTCAGTGGGTTAAGCGTCCGACTTTGGCTCAGGTCATGATCTCGTGGTTCCTGAGTTGGAGCCCCACATCAGCCTCTGTGCTGACAGTGTGGAGCCTGCTTCAGATCCTTGGTCTCCCTCTTTCTGTTCCTTCCCCATTCATGTGTGTGCACATGAGCATGTTCTTTCTCTCTCAAAAATAAATATTAAAAAAAATTGAATTAAATTGTAAACCTAAAAGCAATGGACACCCAAGGAAATACTTTGTTTTCAAACATGGCGTGATCATATTTCCATTGTAGAAGATAATTTTGGTTGTTCTGTGGAGAATGTATGTTGGGTATGTAGAGTGTGTTAATCAGGAAAATCATCAGGAGGCCATAGGGCAGAAAAGAGGTGATGCCAGTGTGGAAAATAGTGTTAGAATGAGAACGAAAAAAAGTAGATGGAGTTTTAGATATATATCTTCTGATGGCATGTGGAGGGTGGGTGGTTTCTTTTATTTGTGTGGGTTTGTGTGAGGGGCCCCAGTGGAGGGAGAGCGGTGCCCAGGCATGACTGAGACCATGCATGTCTCCTTCACTGTCTTGCCTCTCCAGCCTGCCCACAGTACCCACATTCATTATTAACCCTATCTCTTCTGGAATCTCTGAACTGACCTTAAATCTAGGCTTACAGTACAGTCCTTCTGGCTATGCAGTTTGTGAGAGGGGTATTTGTCACGTGGCTGTGAAAAAAGGCATGTTGCAGTGTGAAACATAGCTCATAACTGAGGTGATCTATTTATCTAAATCTATAGCTGTTGATTGATTTTATCCTGGCTTCCTTTCTTTATGCTTTGAAATGAATCCTTTTTAGAATGCAGTTTGGTTTATTTTAAACATTGTTACCTTGGCTTTATTTAAAGAAATAGAGTAAGTTGATTAGAAAATCACAGATAATGAAAAAAAAATTAATATTTATTTATTTTTGAGAGAGAGAGACAGAGTGTGAGTCGGGGAGGGGCAGTGAGAGAGGGAGACAGAATCTGAAGCAGGCTTCAGGCTCTGAGCTGTCAGCACAGAGCCCGACGCGGGGCTCAAACTCAAAAACTGTGAGATCATGACTGGAGCCAAAGTCAGCCACTTAACTGACTGAGCCACCCAGGTGCCCTAATCATAAATAATTTTAAAATTTGATCTGATTATAAAAGAATTCATCATTGTAAAAAAAAAACTAAACAAACTTTATTCTAAAACAAAAACTTCCTTATATCTTATTTCTTGCTGCCTTTTTAAGCAAACTGAACATAATAGTTAAAAAGTGATTTGATATTCATTTTCTAGGTGTAGAATTAACACGAAATTGTCTTATTTGATGTTTTCTCAGCTTCTTAGATCTCTGATTTGATGTTGGCTGGGTTTTTTTTTGTTTGTTTTTTGGGGTTTTTTTTTTTTTTTTGGAAAATTCTTAGCCATTTTTACTTTGAATACTTTTTGTGATCCTGGT